TTTAACATTGAACATTTATGAATGATGAATTTCTGAGTTTTTTCTAAAAGTCAAATTTTTGTACTGTTCAAGTTATTAAAAAATAAATCTAAGAAGAAAGGCATTATTTTAAAAAATCATATAAGTCTCCCATGATTATGGTATGGTGGTCTATTAGACTCGAGGTGAAAGACTTATACAATGAAAACTACAGAACCCTAAAGAGAGAAATAGAAGAAGATCTTAGAAGATGGAAAAATATACCCTGTTCATGGATAGGCAGAACTAACATCATCAAAATGGCGATATTACCAAAAGTTCTCTATAGGTTTAATGCAATGCCAATCAAAATCCCAACGGCATTTCTTGTAGAAATAGAGAAAGCAATCATGAAATTCATATGGAAAAATAAAAGACCCAGAATAGCAAAAACAATGCTAAGCAGGAAGTGTGAATCAGGCGGTATAGCGATACCAGACTTCAAACTATACTACAGAGCAATAGTAACAAAAACAGCATGGTACTGGTACCAAAACAGGCGGGTGGACCAATGGTACAGAATAGAGGACACAGAAACCAATCCACAAAACTACAACTTTCTTATATTTGATAAAGGGTCTAAAAGCATGCAATGGAGGAAGGATAGCATCTTCAACAAATGGTGCTGGGAAAACTGGAAATCCATATGCAACAAAATGAAACTGAATCCCTTTCTCTCGCCATGCACAAAAGTTAATTCAAAATGGATCAAGGAGCTTGATATCAAATCAGAGACATGCCGTCTGATAGAAGAAAAAGTTGGCTACAATCTACATACTGTGGGGTCGGGCTCCAAATTCCTCAATAGGACTCCCATAGCAGAAAAGTTAATAACTAGAATCAACAAATGGGACTTACTCAGACTAAAAAGTTTTTTCTCAGCAAAAGAAACAATAAGAGAGGTAAATAGGGAGCCTACATCCTGGGAACAAATATGTACTCCTCACACTTCAGATAGATCCCTAATATCCAGAGTATACAAAGAACTCAAAAAATTAGACAATAAGAGAACAAACAACCCAATCAAAAAATGGGCCAAGGACCTGAACAGACACTTCTCAGAGGAGGACATACAATTAATCAATAAGTACATGAAAAAATGCTCACCATCTCTAGCAGTCAGAGAAATGCAAATCAAAACCACCCTAAGATACCATCTCACTGCAGTAAGATTGGCAGCCATTATGAAGTCAAACAACAAGTGCTGGCGAGGATGTGGGGAAAAGGGTACACTTGTACATTGCTGGTGGGACTGCAGATTGGTGCAGCCAATTTGGAAAGCAGTATGGAGATTTCTTGGAAAGCTGGGAATGGAGCCACCATTTGACCCAGCTATTCCCCTTCTTGGTCTATTCCCTAAAGACCTAAAAAGAGCATGCTACAGGGACACTGCTACATCGATGTTCATAGCAGCACAGTTCACAATAGCAAGACTGTGGAACCAACCTAGATGCCCTTCAATAGACGAATGGATAAAAAAAATGTGGCATTTATACACAATGGAGTATTACTCTGCATTAAAAAATGACAAAATCATAGAATTTACAGGGAAATGGATGGCATTAGAGCAGATTATTCTAAGTGAAGCTAGCCAATCCCTAAAAAACAAATGCCAAATGTCTTCTTTGATATAAGGAGAGTAACTAAGAACAGTGTAGGGACGAAGAACAGGAGAAGAAGATTAACATTTAACAGGGATAAGAGGTGGGAGGGAAAGGGAGAGAGAAGGGAAATTGCATGGTAATGGAAGGAGACCCTCAGGGTTATACAGTGGAGGGGGTAGAGAGAGAGGAGGGGAGGGGACAGGAGAGGTGGGGAGGGGGGAGGGTGGAGTATGGGAAAGGCAGTGGAGCACAACAGACACTAGTATGGCAATTTGTAAATCAATGGATGTGTAACTGATGTGATTCTGCAATCTGTGTATGGGGTGAAGGTGGGAGTTCATAACCCACTTGAATCAAAGTGTGGAATATGATATGTCAAGAAATTTGTAATGTTTTGAACAACCCACAATAAAAAATTAAAAAAAAAATAAAAAATCATATAATGCACATGACATAAATCTTTCTGATTATTTTGATTAAAATTCATTTGAGTAATGAAATTGGAATGCCCATTAATTGTAGAGATTTCTAGGGTATTTCTCTAAAAGTTAACGAGATGGGTTCAAGTTTTTTTGTGTAGATATGAAACAAGGATAGAGAAAAAATGGAAGAGGAATAAAAGATAATTTTATAAATGGCAAAGTGAAGAAAAAATAGAAGACAAAAGAGAGAAATAGAAGAATATCAATGAAAGTATTAGAAAAAATAGCTGATAAAAGGATTAAAAAATTCACCAAAAACTCAGAAGATGCAGATATACACAAACCTATGGAAAATAAGAAGCAACAATAAATTATGGAGGAAAAGAAGGAGGGAAAAGGAGGGAGAGAGAAAGTGAGAAGGGAAAAATATTCCAAAAGGAAAAATGTATTTTATTTGCAGTGGACTTCATCAGGGTATCACCAAACCATCACATTACAGATGCATTTTGATTTGGAGAACAAAACTGACTCTGTGAGGAATCAAGATGTTTTCAAAAAGGAAATAACAGTTAACAAATGTCAACCATGATGTGAAGAAGTTCTTCAGTCACATAGTTCAGATGAAAACTATGCAGAAGTGGCACTATGTACAATATGATAATATGTATTTTAGGGGGTAACTCAATAATGTTATTTTCCTTTGGATGCTATCTGGTAAGAATAAGGTATTAATTAAGTAAGATATGGCATATAATTTTAAAAACTTGGGACATTAAAGGTTCCAGGCAGTGATAAACGATTATGCTTGTTTTCGTAAACTGACATTATTATGTACATTTCAGAAGGAGAACTGATAACAATGTAGGAAGAATTGATAAAAGAAATGACTAAAAACAGATCAAATGGCAGATTCTTGCCATTATATAGGTAAGAGATGATGAAAACTGGAAATAATGTCATGGAAGTTGGGAAATATGAGAGTGATATAAAGGTAAATAAAAATAGATGATGAACTGGGTATTTGAATAAAGAAAAGGGAGAAATATATAACTACAAGTTGTCTGGCTTGCCTAATTATGTATTATGCTTTTTACCTAGAGAGTAGGACCTCAAAATTTCTCTTTCTAAAATTAATTTTTCTTTCATATTTAAGAGCTATGAATGGTTCAAAGACAGAATCCAAACTAATCAATAAAGTGCAAGAGACTCATCATTGCTCCAAACTCATCTCTGTTTATGTCCTTCATTTTTAAAGGAGGACTGTGTACCCTATTCTCTGCCATAGTTATCTGTTCCATTAATTAAAGTGCTTGGTATATGTGAGCATACTTGGACACTCCATCAACTGCCAGTTTTTAGATATACTCTTATTGTCTTCATTTGCTTTATATATTATAAACACTGAACACTGTGCATATCTTAGAAATGGCAACTGCAGCTGATCAATAGCTTTTCTTTTCCGTTTCTTTCCTTTTCTTCTTTTCTCTTTCCTCTCTCTCCTCTCCCTCTCTCTAGTAATTAAATAATATTGGTTCTTAAATGGAATAATGATGTTGCTTCTTTCCAATTCCCTTTGGTTCTTTGTCAGAAGCAGCTACCTAACATGATGTCACTTCTGAAGACAGAGGAATTTTTAAAAAATCTTGCTATGGTGCTTCATTTTGATTCTTCTATTTCTTCTCCCTTCCAACTCTGTGAATGAAGCTATAGCTATAGCTGCAGGGTGGATGGAGAAAAAGGGACATTTTATGTTGCATAGGTAAGAGATGTTGAAATAATGTCACAGAGGTGATTATATTATCTTGCTTCCCCAACCTTATATAAACTCCATTTTTGTTATGGAAGCAACAATTTGCTTAAATGTTAATAATAATAATAATAATAATAATAATAATAATAATAATCAGACATAGAGCTGTGGATATGGAATGTGAAAAGTATCATGGGTTATGATACTTTTGAGTGTCTGATTATGTAGAAATTATTTCATATATCAAATCCAAGTGAAGACATGGATCTGAACATTTCATAAGTTTTAAGTGGTTTTTTTTTTGTGTGTTGCCAATATATCAAGAAGAGTATATATATTTTTTGCCTCAGATCTGGAATTTTATTAAAATGCTAAAATAATTGCCTAAGTTATGGGGTAAAATTATCATGTAGTTTTATCATCTCACAATACATCACTCATCAGCAATTAACAGAATTCATTAAGGCTTGTTTTTATTTAGAAGCTAAATACTTTATAAACTTTGGTGTTATTTGGAACATATTATTAAGAAGGATATTGAGTAAATATTTAGTTATGTATTCATTTATCAGAATTAGACATTACACTTTTTTGTTTTGATGTAACTTTTGCAATTTTCCTGACATTTATATATGATGTACTTTTATATGGAAGTGCAATAACATAAATGGTTATTAATCAAAATGCCATCATTCATAGTAAGAATCCTGCAATTTAAAGCAAAACCCTCTTCACACTATAAAATATAGCAACATGTCTTTTATATCCAAACAGGAAATTCCTCTTATGTAAATGATCATTAAAACTACACAAAGTGATATGATTTAGTTTAACAAAAAACTTGGAATGTTTCTCAGATAAAACTGTACTAGTCTGATAGTATAGATTCTAGACTGTAGTTTGAAAGAAAGCAATAGTGAAAATAAATTTCATGCCAGTAGACACTTTAAAAACTAGATTTAGCAGCAGTCACATTAGCTTAGATAATGGGAGAATTTTTCTTCATTGAAAATGCTCTCTGTCGCTTAAGAAGAACTTACTGAGGCAGCCTGCCATCTAGCTTTTTCACAGAAAAACAGGCTTGCAGACTGCAGATGAGAGTCTGGAGCAGAGACAATTTTAACTTAGCCATTCCTAATTTATCTCAAGCGTTTTCAATTCATCTTCACTGCTCCATGCACACAGGAACACCAGATTGCCATCCCTGGGGAACAGAATGCAACCCGGGATCTAGAGAGCTGTCACATTCCAAGAAATATTTAAATTGTGCTGATTTTCTTCTGGAGAACTGAGCCCAGGGAATGAAACTCTCCATCAAGTCATAGCTTTGCGGGCAATAGATCAGAGGATATTGCCAGTTTTCTAATGGATTATTGTTATCGGGCAGGTTTTCTCTGAAGGTACGTAGTTATTTTCTCAATTCATTACCCTCTCCTATTTATCAGGTAATAGTCTAATGAGCTAGGGATCCAAACCTGTAAAAAGAGAAAGATGTTAAGTAGTCGGTATTCAATGAAGAATGACATTTTATTGCTGCATGCTTGTAGGTGAAATAATCTGATTCCTTTACTAAAGATGAGTAGGATATAGTTTGAATTGCCTTGTCAGCAAAAACAGGCAAAACCAAAACAAAACCGTGCTGCAGGCTGCATTATCATAAGTTCATATTAATTCTCTGAGGGATTTTCCTTTTGCAGCTGCAACATATAATGAAGGGAAATACATACTTTGGAAACTCAGGCATATGTATATTTGAATAACCATAATATTCTATCCATGTTTTCACAAACACAAACTTTGTCTCAAATGCTATTATTTCGGTTGTCATTGATGTTGATCACATATAAATACGTGAATTAGTATTGAATCTAGAGAAACTCCAGCAGAAGTCTGCTTGATAATAGTATATTGGTTTACTTCATTTGATAGATCTCATTTTTGAGCTTGAAAGAATTTTACTAAAATGAATCAGTACAGTGTTGGTTCATTATATTATAAAAAAATGTTTTTCTAACTTTGTTCTGTTAAGTAAGAATGTTAATATAGTCTATGGAAAGGTACAAACTGTTTAGCAAAGTAAAATGTTAAAAGCTGGAAAACTTCTGAACAGTAACTGAACCAATGAAAAGGCAGGGAATCTCCTCCTAAAATAAAATTTAGCTCATTATACTAATGATCTATTGCAACAGGAAAGGTGATCTCTGTCATTTTTTTCCCTAAAAGTTGAAGGTGTATGTGTATATATGGGGAAATGGTGTTCTGTCTCAGTGAGTGGATACAGATGTGGGATAGAAAACAAGCACAGAATAATCAGTGAATTTTTGTAAAATTCTCTTTTTATAAAAACATGAAGAAATACTTAAAAATATGGTCTTAGGGCTTTTGATGCATTTTTAATGTTTTATTCCTGTGTGAATAAGCTTAGTGTAACATACCTCATTGATATTGTTGTGTTAAAAATGTCTATTAAAATGTGTTTGACCTGGAGACTGGCATACCTGCTGCTGTATTTGGATCGGAACACAGAGTTTGTGAACCCATCAGTGGGTTAATCACAAGCTTGAGAAAGGAAATGGTGGCTGAGCTTTGCAAAAGCACTTGTTAAATGTGTTCTGATTTCTTTGGAGAATTGAAGAAAGCATTAGAAGAATAAAGGAAACAGAGAAGAACCCCAAATAGTAACTTTCAGAGCCTCTTCCCTTATCCTCAAAAGGATTGTCAAAGGCAAAGAATAGAAAAGAGGAAAAAGAATAGAGTCCTCATAGGGTACTTCTAAGTCCTTCTTTTTTTCATGAACCATATAGGATTGGGGAAGGGGGATTTAAGGTTTTCCTAAGGATTCCTCCATTTGGCAACTTTCTCCTCTTCTTTGTGGATTATTTTCTGTCTACTCACTTAAAAAAAAAAAGAATAAGTTAGATTGCCCCTGACCTGGTTTGTTCCCCAATAACTTGCTGCTGTAATGCAATTCTATAGAAGTCCACTCTCTGAAACTGCATACACTCCTAGGTGGATCAGCCTTCCAATTCAATGGCTTATGAATGCCGGAATATGAAATGACTTAGCATCTTCTTTTTTTTTTTAATTACAACTGGTTCTTCTGAAAAATCTTAGGATATATTCAAAAGGAGGTACAAGTAGTGGTAAAAAAAAAAAAAGAATTTCAGAGAACACATTTTATGTTCTTTTAAAATAAAATAGTACCAATGGAGAATGGAATGTAGTCATTTTATGTGTGAGCATGTGGAAGATATGATAACAGCTTAATAATATATCCTTAACTTTATGATTTTTAAATGTTAGAAGAATAGAACAAATATTAAAACCAGGAGAAGTTTTATTTGTCAAATTGCTCCAGAATTTTCTTATCACTCTGACCGCCTATTAACCTTTTCTACAATAATCATGTTAGTGTTTCCTCCCTCCCCACAGGTTTCATTCTCTTACCCTGCCATTGAAATCTGCTCAGCTTCCAGGCCTAGCACTAAAACTTGTTTTACTTCATCTTATGGTGAATTCATTGCAAAATATATTACCATAATTTCATTTTATTATTTGCTACTAAATAACATTTATTGAGTGCTCATGATGTTTGTTGCTTCCAAGCAACATGTAGGAAGAAAACATGTAATCATATTCTCTCTTAAATCAGCCAGTTTATTAATACTTCAGGACCTCTAATTGGTACACTAAAAGGAGGAAATTAAGCCCAGCTCTTTAGTGGCTTCTTATGTGCGTATAGCACATGAAATGTCTTATATTCAGTCAATCTTATATTCATTCATCTTTACTAAGAACATTGAATATTGAATTGTTTTCAGATTCTCTCTTGGCCTTTTAATATGTCAAAGCGTTATAGTAGACAGAACACTGGACTGAAGATAAGGCAAATTAGGTTTATATAGGTTAAGCAAAATTGTCAAAGTTAATCGATCTATATATATGTTTGTCCCATCATCTCTATAATGGCAATAATGGTACCTACATTTTATACTCTTAATAGAGATCACATACATTAACTATCAGAGTTAGTGCACATTACATGTTTGATATATGGTATCTACTTTTTGAGTGTATTTTATCAAGTGTTTTATATAAGAATGTTCCAGTTGAAACAACTTTGACTCTTACCTTTCTTTAATGATGCCTGTGTGTTTGTTGGTTTATGTGTACAAATGTGTATTATTTTAGACCTATTTATTTAGTAGTTTTAGAAATGAAAATAATCCATAGAGCATATATTTATTATTTGGTCCTAAAGTTTCTGTAGGTACCCATACATATTTAGATTTTGAAATCTATTATTTTGAGAAATTAGTCCGTATATTCTTTATGACTATCAAATAGCCAAATTATTAATCATAACTTACCAGGGAAAGCAGATAAAAAGAACTATATCTGATTTTATTCTTATCCATTCTCCTAAAGGATATGGAAATAGAAGACAAGACAATAAATCCTCTTGCTCATTATACCGTACCCTTTGCCCCTTTCATTTGTGTTTTATTTTGCTACAGTGGCTTGTCTAGTGAGATGGCCTCATATTCCAGAGTAGTTCAAGCATTCAAATGTACCCCTCAAGGAACAATACAAATATATGAAAACTTTTATTAAATTAAAAAACAGCTTCTGCTTTGAAAACATGCTAAACATTTTTTAACGAGAGTGAAACTGTCAAAGGTGAATGTTAAATTCAGCCAGATGTTGACCTTAACTGTGAATTTAAATCTTTATAAAAATAGTATCCAAGCTAGAAACTGCTTTCACTGGGTCTCAAGGCTATTGAAAAATTTTGTGTTTGAATTTTCTAGATATATTTCATATCACGGGGTTAGAATATTCACGAAAACTATTTAATATTTTTATATGCCAATGTTAATTCAGCATAACACTTGTCTGCTTTATATTTCTTTGTATTGGTGTTTCCTACTTGGAACCACCAAGTAATTATTTGGAAAGTCCATTGCTGGAAAGTACATATCATTTTCTAGCTAGATCAAAACTTGGATATAAAAGCAAGAGTCTGCTGACAAAAGTTTGTTTTTTAACTTCATAGTGTCACTAATATTGCTTCAATCATTACATTACATTAAGTGGAAATGAGGTCATTAGGGTAAGCTGTAATTTGAGAAGAGGAAATTTGGACAGACAGACACACAGGCAAGACCACAGGAACAACAGGGAGACCTATGGGCCAAGGAGAGTGGTCTGAGAAAATAATCATACTTGACCGCTTGATTTTGGATTTCTAGCCTCCAGAATTATGAGAAAATAAATTTCTGATATTTAAGCCACCCAGTCTGTGGTACTTTGTTGTAACAGTTCTTGCAAAGTAACAGAGTAAACACATTAAGATCTTTGGCTGGGTGCAGTAGCACACACCTGTAATCCTAGCAGCTGAAGAGGCTAAAGCAGGAGGATCATAAGTTCAAAGCTAGCCTCAGCAAAAGTGAGGCACTAAGCAACTCAGTGAGATCCTGTCTCTAAATAAAATACAAAATAGGGCTGGAGATGTGGCTCAGAGGTCGAGTGATCCTTAGTTCAATCCCTGATACTCAAAAAAAAAAAAAAAAAGAAAGAAAATAAAAGAAAAAAGAAAGAAAAAGAAAACAACAAAAAACAAAATCTTCAGCCCCCCTAGTTCTTCCTTCTTTTCTTTTGCCTTTGGAAATGTAAAAAGTATTCTTGTTCACACTTTAAAATTTTTAAAAACACTCTTAGGCCAGATTTGGCCCAGTTTGCTAATTCTCAAAAGGTATTCCAAAGCCTTCCAAAGTTTAACTTAAAGTCCTAAATTTCATTTAATTGCACAAGATAATCAACTTTGCAGATGGCAGCACTGATTTTGAATCTCAAATATAGAACTTGATCTGTTACTTCTAGAAAAACCCCTCCAAATGCCTAAATTTGATGTGAATATCTATGAGGATATTTTAATTTCATTGCTAATGGACACTTAAAGTTTCAATGTTAAAATTGCATAAGATAAAATTTATAACACAATTGCAGTTTGCTCTTGGACTGAGTACATTCTTTGCAATAAAGAGCATTCAAAGCACTTACCATGTGTTTTCTCATAACTACCAACAACCTTACAAAGTAGTTGATATTGTAATCATTTTCCTGATATGGAAATAAAGGCACAGGACATAAAGCAACTGACTACTGTTTACTTAGCATAAGTAGCTATGTTGTTAGCCAAGGACTGGATTCAGAATCTTTGGCTACAATCTGGCATTTAACCACTATTGCACAAGAGCACTCAAGCCACAGGAGGAATTTATATTTACTAGGAGAACAGCTGTGAAAATGTGGGAAAAAAACAAATATTGAGTGGCAATTTAGGAGAAAGAGAGGGAAAAATTACATGGTGTTCTTTAATCCCACATTCTATGTTAAT